CTATACGTTCGGGTGACCGAGCAGCCTTCGTGGATTCCTCGAGAATAAATATATCTGAGCCTAGTCTCTTACGAGTGCTTGCGGTCTCCCTCACCCGACTTTTTTTTTGTTTTGTTTTATCAAAGTTTTGGGACAGGGCACTCGTGTTACTTTTCCTTTTTTTCGGGATTTCTCCAGGAGTTTGAGGATTTTTTTTTACTTGAGTCTCTTCTCGTTGATTTTCTCGAGTTTTCTGCTCTTCCTCGGATTTACTGGACGACATTTCTTCCAGACTTTGCTTTTGAGATGCATTTAGGCTTGCTATACTTAAGGAACATCGGATCTCATGGGCGTACAGGTTTGTTTTACATTTCTTTCAGTACTTTATTTTTCTGTTCCTACCTGCTACTGTACTGTACAACATGTCATATTATTCCTGTTTTCTACCTGCTACTGCTCTTCCTGTACATGTTATACCATTTTTGTTCCTACCTGCTACCGTACCGTACAACACGTTATATTATTCGGGTTTCTACTTGCTACTGTTATTCCTGCATAGCACGTCATACTGTTCCTGTTTCTACTTGTTATTGTTTCACATGCATTCTCCTGTTTGTTCCTGCATTACACATTTTATATTATATAGCTTTAAGCATGTTTTCTTTTTATATAGGATGTTTAGAGGAATACAACCATATGACCGTTTGATTTGACACTATAACCGGACACCCTAGAAAACTTAAACTCGTCACGTCGGGGAGCTTGGAGCTAGCGCGGTGGGCAGCACGACCATCTTCAACAGCAGAACATGTCTTCCCCAGCAAAACCATTTCTTTCCTAGAAATTAAACAACAAACCATAGGATTTCGAGGTTGTTTGCCTAGCGCAACATAAATCCTCACTTTATCTGTTAGGGCTTTGCACAGTCAAACTGTGCAATTTAAGCCCTAACTCGTTCGAGGTTGTCGTCCGATACGACGTAAACCCTCATGTCTTGCAGGCGATTTGTGTGACTATGTCACGTAAATATAAGCCCTAATTAAATAAAATTAGCAGGATGAAACACTTTAATAATTTCTTCTCGAAACTGAAGCCAAACCATAGGATAGACTGAGAAGTCACCGATGTTTGCCTCCGGATCTACGACCTCCCCTAGTTTCTCTTCGCTTGAATTCCTCAACAATGTTCCAGATTTGAGTCTTTCCCCTTCCACACCTCTTCGTCCGATTTCGTTGAAAGGTCCTATCCTTTTGACTTCTTTGAAGATAGTATTCCCTGATTTTTATCGAGAGTTTTCTTAGGTGACTTCGGTCATTTAAGATGTAATTAACTATGGGGGCTTACCCTTATAGAAAGCTTTTCCAAACCCAGCCTAAAATAAATTCTATTTAATTCTTTGTATTAAATAGGGGAACTTGTCGGCAAATAAAATGATTTTCGCAGACCAAACGGATGTCATATATTTCTTAGTTTATTTGATCGACTTGTGTTAATCCCTCGGGATAGATACAGGATTTGAGGTAGAACGTTCTTTCATTTAAACTGTGAAAAATATGAGGTCAGTTTGATTTCATATTTTTTCTAAAATTATATATATATGTAAATTAATAAATTAAACGTCTTTCCGAAGCGGACGACGGGACTTCACTTCCGGCGACCGACAGCTTCTTACGGACAACTTTTAAATAAACCACCTTTAAACCATTAACTTTACCCTCCCCTCCTTTTGGCGTCGACAGTGGATTAAATTTATTTTCTTTTATTTAAAAATACTTATGCTTTCAATAAATAAAACTATAAAGACAAATAAATTTAAATAGACATATATTGTTTTAAAAATATTTTTTTTATTTCATGTGTTGAAAGCTTAACAATATTTTTATAATTGAAAAAAGTAATTTAAAAATTAAATGATTTTTTATTATTTTAAAATGTTCCACCTTTTGCATTATATAAAAATTTAATAAATGAATTTAATGATTGGAACAAATTAAACATCTTTTAATTGAAATGTAAATGTTTAAGTTAATTAGTAGTCATTCCTTATGGTACTAGCTGAGGATATTATTTTAACGTGCACGAAAAAAAAAAAATGAAAAATGGAAACGGAAATGGAAATGCAAATGTAAATGAAATTATTGTACTTTAATTGATACAAGTTTTTTTTTTTTTTTTTTTTTGGGGCCCTTTAGATGGCTTTCTTCTTAAAGGAAAAAAATAGAAAATGTAAATGTTAAAAGATGATTTATAAATATTTTTTTTCTTAAACTAAAATTTTTAAACTTACTTTAAAGATGATTAATCATTATATATCGTCCGAGCATTCTTGTTTGAGCATTTGCATAAGGACTTCACACATAATAGAACAATAGTTATTCACTAAGCTGTTATGAACTTAATAAGCTATTTAAATGTTCTTTCAGAAAAAGCTCAATTGAATTAAAATAACTGACAGGAGAGACATCGTCTATTGCAGAAGAGGTTCAAATGAAAGTAAGTATTAGACATTGTTGTTTTATGTCTAGGTTCCTTTCTTACTAGTACTGTTGCAATCCAGATATCTTATTATTTTGTTTGGATGATGTTTTAGATATTTTTCTGGTTTAGTGGCTTCTACTGTTCAGATTATTGTTGTTATGGATTTTTGTAATAATTAGTCTGATTGTGAGACGAAATTTTTTGATTGATATTACTGTTTGATTGTTCATTCCTACCTTAATATTTTCAAGTTCCCAGGCCGGATTGTGAGACGAAACTTTTTAGTAATATCTTGTTTACAGTTTTATCAGTTTTTCAAAAATTTAACTTGAAATCAATTACGAAAAACTCTTGGGAGAGCTTGGCACGAATTTTTGGATTCCACATTTTATTTATGTTTGATTGTGAGGTGTTGAACTATGAGGATTTTGAAAGAGTTCAATAAGTTCCCTTGCACATTCTTCATCCACTTCTTGGTGTGCCTTACCTCCCAATTGTCACAACACTGTTGATTGCTTTTCTATAAAATGTAGTGCCCATTATCGAGTAGTTTCACATCAATAACCACTTGACTTTTTGGATCATCTTCTTTTTATCTATTCATGTACTACCATGGCTCCATATAAACTTCTTAATGTGCAGTTATTGTTATGCACAAGGAGTGTTTTGTAGTAACAATCTGTCCCATCCTCCCACCCTTTCTCCTAAAGTTAACTTTAAAAATATTTGTTTCATTTTAATGTATGGTAGATGTATTACTTCTTTTTTGCTCTGCTCTGGCCATTTTTGGTAATTTTATGGTATTTGAGGTTTTTTTAACATGAACTTGAACGTAAGATTTTATTTTCCTTATCAATGATTTTGTTGCAAGGATGTGATTTAAGTTTTCATTGCATGTATTTTTTAATCTCCAGTATCTAGCTCCTGGTTTTCTCTTGCTCACTTTTAAGTAGGTTACAGAGATAATATAACTTCTCAGTTATGTCGGACTATCTCCAGTTCTTGCTGACCTGCTGTAGGATTTTTTCTCCACAGCACCTGAAATGAAATCAAATTTTAAATATTTTGCCTTTTCATTTGTTTGACTATATTTTTTGTAGGCAAACAATGATTTATTTGTAGTAAGAACCCTTGACCGGAGAACTCTCTGGGAAATGCAAACTCCACAGGTTGTTATTGCATGCATATCCTTATTGAAGTTCAAATAACACACCGAGGACAGAAACTTCTGAGTGTCATATTGCTTTGTATCTTGCAGGTTATCAAGCCTGATTTACTCAGAGCTGGTTTTGAGCTTGTCAACCGGTATGCTATGCTTTGTACTTGATCCTTCAATTCCTTCCTCCTTTTCTTGATTGAATTTTTTTTTTTTCATGATTTTATTAAGATGATTTTATAATTTTACTAGTTATCCATACTAATAATTAAATTTAAATTACATTATTAATCATGCAAAACAAACGCGCTTAGCATACCATGGTTGGTAAGACTTTTTTAAAGAATATTTATGAGTATTCAGCCTTTAGGCCAATTATTTGTTCAGTTAATGCCTATAGTGGTCTATGTTCACAGGATACATGATTGATGAAAGAGCAAATGATCCCGGCTGGACCGGACCGGTCGGCCCTGCCTAGGGGGCGGAAATCTCAGGTCCCGACTGGGATAATTCTAGCTCCCAGGTGGAGCCCGTTAATCCCCTAATCATGTATGTGAGGAGAAGAATTAAGGGGGAAGTTTGAATATGTTTTGGGGATGTTTTATTACAGCTAATCTTTTAGGGTTTGCTTTTATGTTTTGGTTTATGTAGTTTTTTTCTCTCTTCTTGTTCATAGTGTTGTCTAAAATTTGTGGAGAGTTGATCTACCTCTCGAATTTTAAATCTCCTATTTCTATTATTTGTTTGCTTAGAGATTAAGATTTTCCCACATTTCTTACAATTTTTTTGCTGATTTTGGCTCGATTCGTATGAAATTGGTATCAGAGCAGCTCCGTTAGAAATCTTTCCCGAAGGAGACTAATCCTTTTGGGCGGAGACGGGTCACATCGGGATCGGTGCGAGTGCTGGGAAGGATTGTGCTGTGCCCAATCACGATACAATTTCTAGGAAGCCGAACTTCTGGTAAGCTGTAGTTTCTGGGATCACGGCGTGCCCTGTTGTGATAAAGCTGTTGTTCTAGGAAGAGCCAAAAATGGATTTCTTGCTCTACGATCTCTTGTGGTAATTTCTTGCTCTTGATTTTTTGCCTGTGACTACTGTTCGGTTTCTCCAGACAATTTCTACCCTTCCACGATTTGAGCTCTAGAGCAAAGTCTAGCCTAGTCACGATTCAAGTGCAGGGAAGAGACAAGGACGGATAGCTCGTTATTTTTCGTTGGTGACCTCCGACCATCTCGATACAGTACTGCATTAGAGCAAGACCATGGAGAGATGATAACATGGAAAGTAGATTCTTTGAAAGAAAGATTGAAAGGCGTAGTAGGGAAAATTAAATCAAGAATTGAGTGCAGGTTCTCAACTATAGAATGAAGGCTTTCCTCCTTGGAAAACTAAATGGAAAACCGATTTTAGCACTTGGAGGAGATGATGGGGAAGTTTATTGAGATGCAATCCAAAACCTTGTAGACAATTTAAATTGTAAATCCCAACCAACACCGGAGAATCCTTAACAAAATCTAAAGGGAAATAGATCAAATGAAAGGAACATGGGGAGGAAAACATCAACCATCAAGAAACTCCTTATGAGAGGTGGATTAGGGATTTTTGATGGAGTGGGTTGGGCCAAAATAGAGGAAGTGTGTTATGTAAGGGGTATGCGAGAGTACGAAGGAAGGAGAGGAGCCGAGATGGGGCGTGGCTATGATCGAAGAAGGGATTTTCACCCAAGATACATCTGAACCATTGAAGGGACAGAAAGTTGGGGTGGAGTTGCTAGAGTTAGGAAGTTGAAGATGCTGATTTTCGAGGGGTAAGATGCATATGGTATGGTGTATCAAATAGAGCGATATTTCACGATAACTGGGTTAAAGGAGGAGAAGCTCATGATCACATGGTTATATTTGGAGGGGAAAACCTTAGTTTGGTTTCTGTGGATGGGAACTAGATACTCGATCCGCTCGTTTAAGGAATTTAAGGATTGCTTGTTGGAATGTTTCATAGTCATTTAGGAAGGAGAACTACACGAGCAATTCTTTGCCTGACTTAGGAGGGGACCATGATGGAGTATAGGGAGAGATTTGAGTTATGTCTTGGACTACTAAGGGGATTTCTGAGGCAGTATTGAAGTGGGATTTCATAAAGGGTCTAAAGCCCGACATACATGCAACCTGTTGACTGTTGAGATCGAGGGGATTGGCGTAGACGATGGATCTAGCCCAAATGGTGGAAGAAAAGAACCAGATGTAGTGGACCATTAGAAGCAGCCCCATGGGAGGATTCCATAGGAGTAACTCACAACTTTGACACTGAGGACTCAAACGGTGTTATTTCACAGGGAGGTGTCGAAGGAGAGAAATATGGGAGCCCGTCCAATGGTCAACTTCAAGCGCCTCACGGATGTAGGTGCAGAACAAAAAAATAAAGTGATTATGTTTTCGATGTGATGAGATGTATGTACCAAGCCATCAGTTCAAGGATCACACACTCCAGGTCCTTACAATTTGTGATGGGGAGGACGCAGATAGTGAGGAGTTGGAGGAAAAAGCGATGGAGGAAGAGGAGTATTTACACCTTGATGTGGTGGAGATCTCCCTCAACTAAGTGTTGAAATTTACTTCAAATTACACCATGAATTTGAGGGAACGGGTCAGGGAGCAACTGTAGTTGTGTTGGTGGATAATGGGGTCACTCACAATTTCATCTCAAATGGACTCGTGGACTAGTTAAGGCTGAAGTTATTAGATATGTGAAGTTATGGGTTTATGATTGAGAGAAGGAAGGTAGAAAAAAGTCAGGGAATTTGTAGGGGATTGGTGTTGACACTACTGAGCAGACAAGAGGTGGATGACATCTTTTTCTTAGACTTGGAAAGTACTGATGTGATTCTGGAGATGAAGTGACTACAAAAAATCAGAGAGGTGAGGGTGGATTGAAAATCCCGAACTATGGAGATTAGGGTGGAGAGGAGGAAGGTGGTTTTGAGAGTTTTTTCTTGCTTGTGTATTACCATGGTCTCACTCAAAACCATGTCAAGGAAATACAATATGCATGATTGGGCTGTTTGCTGGAGTTGCAGAGTATAGGGGAGATCCGTGATCTATAGTAAGTAGTGTTCCATGAGTGTGTTCAGCAGTAACATCTTTTAGTAGCCTATAAACTTAGCATTATCAAGGGAGCACGAGCATGCCATTGCATTGAAGGAAGTGGTTCCTCTTATTAGTGTCAAAGCATATCGGTATCTCCGGATTTAGAGAGGTTGGTCAAAGTGATACTCGGGACCGGGATTATCAAGCCCAGTGTGAGCCATTTTTCCTGACCATTGTTATTTGTGAAGAGGGATGGTAGATGGAGGTTTTGTGTAGATTACAGACTTTTGAATAAGAAAATTGTATTAGACAAGTTTCATATCTCGGTGATTGATGAGCTATTAGATGAGCTTTTTGTAGCAGTCATCTTCTCGAAGTTTGATCTAAAATCGAGTTACCATCAGATCAGGATAAAGCCAATTGATCCACATAAGACAACTTTTAAGACGCATGAAGGACATTATGAGTTTTTGGTGATGCCATTTAGCCTTACAAACACTCCGACCATATTTTAATCTCTCATGAGCAAGGTTTTCTAGCCTTACCTTGAGAAGTTCGTTCTAATATTTTCTTATGACATCCTGATATACAACCATACAGAGGCAGACTATATGGGACACACACTTGAGAATAGGGTTGTCAAAAGGCTCGTTGTTCGCGAACAACTCGTGTTCAGCTCGTTCGCTAAGTTAACGAGCCGAACACGAACAAAGATTTGTTCGTTCGTGTTTCGCTCGTTTCGGCTCGAAATACTACTCATCAATTATATATATTTTTTTGTTCAATAAATTTGCCTTGGGCTTTTTTATAAAAATAAATGTATATGTACATATAGATATGTATATCTATACATCTATATACATATATATGTATACATATATATACATATATATATATATATATGTATATGTATACATATACGTATATATATATATACATATATATATATATGTATATGTATACATATATGTATATATATCTATACATATATATATATGGACAACACACTCGTACTATGTTGTAGATCTTCTTCAGCTCAAGAAAGTCATGAAGCCAACGATTCGATGACTTAGGGTTCGACCCTTGCGTGATGAACTCTTGCGATACAATCACGTTTGCCACCGGCTAGGACGTTGACGACACGCTCAGGCGTGCCCTAGGACAGTGTCACTAGCGTCTCGACTTCGCATGACACGACTGCGTCTCAACTTTGCTAGCCAGCACCATCGACTGTTTCACGCTCTCTGCTACGGGGGATTTAGCAGGAGATGCCGATAGCTCCGGGATCTGCTATGGCCCCGACGATGCGTTCCTATGCTAATGCACTTGCCGACGACTTTTCTATTCCTATTCGTGCTCCTCTTTCAGGTTCAGAGCCTAGTTTTCATATTGGCAGGTCTTGTAATGTTCGTCAATCCTTCCACGACGCTTGTGAAGGTGGTGATGATCACACTTTCATTAAAAAACTTGGCAAAAAAAATGGGAAGCCTGCTCCTATTCTGACTGAAGTTGAAACCAGTACTCGCATCCTCTAGGCGTTTTGCTCTAGTGAGGAAATTTCTTTATGGTCACCTAAAACTGGAGATCATTCGGAAAGAGTTTGATGCTATGAAGCTATTGGACAGTTGAAATATTGGCTTACTTGACGGTCGACATATACTTATTCAGTTATCTCATGATGTCGATTACACTCGCATTTTTTCTCGAAAAGTTATCAAGATCGACAACTGTTTTATGAAAATTCTGAAGTGAACTGTCGATTTTGATCCAAAAGTGGAGTCCCCTATCATTCCTATTTGTATAAAGTTTCCAGGGTTAAAATTACATCTGTTCAACATGAAAATTCTCTACTCCTTAGCAACTGCTTACGATAAGTCTCACAAGGTTGATAATCCTACGTTTGCTGTCACCAGACCCTCTGTGGCTTGTGTGTTAGTTGAGAGAGATATCACTCAACTAGCTGCGGATGAGGTATGGATTGACACCACTAGTAACGAGTATTGACAAAATATTGAAATAGAACCACACTCTCTTTATTACTCTCATTGTAGTATATTTGACCA